TTGGTGGTTCAATGAGAATGATTAGTTATGAACAATTAACGGAAAGTTTTAGAAGAAATGGTCTTCAACTGGAGCCATATTACTGGTATCTTGATCAGGTAAAATATATATTGAAAAAGAATAGTCTATTTTGTTTGTTTATTATGAAACAATTGTCAAGAATTTTTTTTATGTTTTAGCGCAAATATGGAACTTTTCCACATGGTGGTTATGGACTTGGTTTAGAACGTTTTTTGACATGGCTCTTAAATCGTTCTCATATACGAGATGTATGCTTTTATCCAAGATTTATTGGACGTTGTCTACCATAAAACAAATACTATATTAAATGAAAACATATACGCATCTAAAATCACACGCTATTCTACTGAAATAAAAGAACTAATTCTAGGTGTGAATATACTATAGAAGTAATGGAATTTATTTTATGCTGTTTCTTTCTTATTGTTATTATGTTTTATTATATCTTGTTTTCTCATTCTTTATTAAACGTGAAGTTTTTCTATTTTACAAAAATAAAATGCCATGATATTGAAGAAATTATTTTCACACAAAACAAGGAAGAAGACATTCATAGTACGTATCAAACTTCTGCTGTTTAATTTAAGCAGTAATAATCACTGACTTTCAAGCAGTGATCATATTTCAATAGGCTACATGTGTAGGGTGAAGAAGAGAGTTGAACGGAAGGATATGGGGATAAGCATGTCATATTCAGAACCATCCTTTTTTGTCCTAACTCATCATTTTAAGCACTCTTATCTCTAGAAAAAATCATCGTGTTTTCCAAAGTAGAGAATCATCCTTCTTTAGTCACCATGGTTGAAGTGAAGCGAGCATGGGGTTAAAAAATGTTGTGTCGAAAAACCTTTTTTCGGCTTACCGACATTATTTGGCTGAGAAAAAAATTAATTACTTAAAAAAGTATTGTTAAATTTTTGAACAAGGGATTATTATTAAAGAAATTCCTGTCCATCCTCCCTCCATTCATCGCAGAAACTTGGTTCTTGCCTAGATCGATAGAGAAATGTGTGGAGAATAGTTATTACGAGAAAATATGCAAGAATTTTTGTTCTTTCCTTCCTGGTATTGACTAATTGGTACTAATTAACGTTAATTTCGCCTGCTCTACTAGCATAAAGTCTTATTTGTAAAATAGCAACGCAACGAAAAAATTCAAGCAATACCTCATCTGACAGAGAATTTCACAATACAATATAAAATACTACAATATGGACTACCTTAAACATTTTAGAATTCGTGTTTGGTCGTTCGGTAAGTCGGGTACGTCGAAAATTTAACAATATTGTTTAAGTAATTAATTTTTTTCTCAGCCAAATAATTTCAGTAACTCGAAAAAACTTCCGGACATACACTTCGAAGTGTCTCTACAAACCGGGAAGGCTTGAAGAAAAAATTCAAAACTTGAAAATATCGCTGGTTTTTGGCTCACCGAAGATTTTTTTACCTATCCTTACGGCTAGCTTCGCCCGAACTAGGCATGCACCAATACAGTATATTGGGTCCCAATAATATTGGTCACCCAATCTATTGCTTGGAAACACATGTTACCTTTAGTTCGATCGTAGTTTCGATTTGAAAGCTGCATTTATCTTTCCCAAAACATTTTGAAATTAGTTGTGAATTAAACTTTGGTGTCCAAGGATTATCACATGTCTTTACTCATTATGCAGAGGCGACGGAAACATAGAATGAGGAAACAAGATATAATAAAACATAGGAACAATAGGAACCATCATTAGTTAAATGATAGCTTTTCAAAATACTATTTATTTATAAAACGTAAAAAGTTCTAAGTATTTACAGAAGGATGAAATAAATCGTAATTCCCTTAATGTCCAACTGCGTTTTCAATGATTTATATGCCGATTGACAGAACATAGTGAGCTAGAGAAAGCCCTAAAAGGATTTTTCCTCATGATGCATCAAATGTTTTGAGTTTTTCGCCCTGTGACTGAAAAATCGTGTTAGCACAAATCGTGGATTGCACAATACATTGGATGTTTTAACCTCACCGATTGGCGATGAGCGGTAACGGTAACACGTTTTTACCGTTACCGACATTCGGGTAGCAATATTAGAGTTTTACCACGGTAATTTTAAACCGATAACAAATATCAAAATTTTAGTCCGGTTTTTGATTCGAAAAAATGAACTTACTTGTAAAACAGTTACAGCATTGACTAAATATATCTCTTCAATGTCGGTAAAATGTGTTGAACGTCCGGCTCCAAGATGGGCGGCTTGTGGTGCGTTATGTGTTAAGCTGTAAAGTCGAAAAGAGTATAATGTATTTTCTGCCGACAGCACGAATATCACCACCATTGGAAATTTCTCTGACAGCAGGTTCAAAATTATCTTTGGAATAACGAGGCCCTCGGCCTTTTTTTATGTATGTTCGTGGCATTAATAATAATGTGGTATAGTTGAAGATTACAGTAAGGTGCCAATAAGTGTTTTTTTACATCGTACTTATAGTGACCAAGCATTTTTCTTAGATTAAGCGGCATCTTATCCCTATACCAAATTAATCAGTTACGAGACGCAAATTAATTATGTTTAGAAATTCGTTAAATGCATTCAAAACAGTTGACAAAAAATCAAGTAATTGTCATATTAAAGTGTATATTTTGTACAGTCAAACAATCAAACATGTTCCTCAATGACTTTTAAAATAAAGTTTTTTTAATTCACTTCATTCTTTGCTAAAAGTGATCTGAATTTCATGACGGCATCTTCAGGTCATTGAATCAAATACTGCATAATTCGACTAAAAATTTATGTCTTGAAATTTTTCTTTTACTCAAGAGATAGAAGAGTATCTGGAGAATATGAAAAGTTCAACATTTTTTTAACTACACAATTATTACAGGTGCCACCTTAATTGGACTGTCAAAAATCAGGTACAAAAATGTGCTAAAATTCAGCAAAACTCATCAGACGGCTACAAATCGCTAGAACCAAGCGATCTTGTTCCAGTTTTCACTTCATATAATAGAGAACAATCTCCTCTATAATTTCTCTATTTGTCATTGATGTAAAATCGGTCTCTGTAAGTCGGTGGGATTTAAACTCTGACTTTTCCGTGCAAATTACACGGACTGACCATAATTACCCCATGAAAAATAGCTGAGTGACCATAATTACCCCAAGTGACTTTTTTTCGAAAAACACGCATTCTCGTAGTTTCTAATTAATTAATTAACGGCAAGCACAAATAGCATGCAATTCATACAGGTGATAGAGCTTGAAATTCTCTACAAGATGATATAATTTTTAATTATTTACCTTAAAATTCCCCGTTGCAACTAAGTTAACTTAAGATGATCGCAGCCATTTTTGCTGTATTGATCATAATTACCCCAACGGTACACGTTGACTGACCATAATTACCCCAAATGGGGTAATCATGGTCAATCGAAAGGTGCTCTCTGGAAATTGATTAGTACTAATTAACGCTAATGAATTTTAAGAAATTTTTTACATAAATTGACAGCCAGGAGTCACCTCTATTTACCTGTAAAATATCGCTTTTCTCAGATAAAAATTTTGCGAACTACAGGAGAAATATGACGAAATTTTGAGAAGCTGACCATAATCACCCCAAGGCACTCTATAACGTAGTTTCTATAAATCTAACCTAAGCATGCAGAAACAGAATAAAAGAGATAACCAAGAACTCCCTAGTAACTTATTTATTTTGCACTAATTTTTACTCGCTAAAAGATGGATTTTAGTGGATGTCCACGAAATTTTCTGGAAGCCCTACAAGAATAAAAACTCAAAATCAAAAATTCAAATTTTTCATGTTTTGGTCCGTTTTTATCTTCTTATAGGCTTTCGACGTTGCTGAATCCAACGGGCATATGCATGCACATGTGTCGCATATACAGGTACCTGTGCATGCATTTTTTTCGGATGTGCATACTCTTAACAATACTTTTCTAAGCGATTAATTTTTTTCTCAGCCAAATAATGTCTGTATTCGTTTGTTGTAGCGCGCTTGCTAATTCCACAAATCGGAGAAACATAGGTTCAATAAGATTATTTATATAATTTTGGTGAATATTTACATTGATCTCGTTGATAGTCAGCTTTTTATTTATTTTCATTATTTCATTGTTGCAAAATGTAACACATTTTTGTTGATCACTCTGCAGTTGAAAGATTATCTGTTGTTGTTCCTGAATAAGAACTTGTTGTTTACTAATTTGTTGTTGCATATCAGCAATTTTAACTATCAAAATTTCTATGCTATTAACTTTTTGTGCTAGACTGTTTAAATTATCATTATGTGCTGTTTGATTTCATAGCTTAGGTGCAGTGCTACTTGGTCCCATGTTTGGAAACTCGTTATCATTTCGATTAAACTGATTCATTTGTTTATTTGATTTAAATACTGGCAGCATAGTTTTGGTTAACGCTGCACGATACGCATAATTGATGGGCATCTACCATCATTTGAAGCATGGGAACCTTGACATCTGACACATTTAGTAACTCCAGAGCATCCACCATTCTCACGATGTAATTCCAAATCTTGAAAAGTCAATCCACACACTTTACAAACAGGTAAATCTTGTTTACATTCCCTTTTGAAGTGTCCAATCCCAAAGCATTTAGAACATACCAAAACTTTTACTGGTGCTATATACTCACTAACTCGATATCGCACATAATCTATATATATATCCTCGAACTTGTACCAACTCAATAAGAGTTTTAACACTCTTAATATCAATGCGTACTAACTTTGTTGGCTTTTTTTCCTTATTATTCATTCGAAAAGCATTGTCAATATCAGGAAAAGCCAGTCGCATCTCATTTAACAGTTCGTCAATATTTTTGCTTAATGAGACATCATGTATCACTAACAAAAATTGTGGGGGAAGTCGACGAGGTAACGTTTTCTTATAATTCGGGCCACCAAGAGTCATCGGCCATTTTTCTGCATCAAACAAGCAGATGAATGATTCACGATTTTTAACAAAGAATATCATTTCTTGACGATAATTAGTTTTAATACCTTCAAACTCCAGTTTAATGTTATGCTTATTCGCATAATACAGACATAACTCATCTTTAATTTTATCAACTTGAGAATGTCCATCTGGTACTACTATAAATGGGGGAAACGCATATCTTGTCTCAGCATAACGAACAGCATTGCTAGATATATCTTCATCTCTGTCTTGACTATCCTGAATACCAGTATTAACTTGTAATACCGATCGTTCTACACCCAATCCAGGTAAGTTAGAAGTTGTCGACACCGGAATGGTAACCACATTTATTCCTGAAGCCATCTGAGCAGATTTTTTCTGCCTCTTATTCGTACGCTCCCCCGACATTCCATCTTCGCTCATATCATCATCAGAATACTTCCTTCTGTTATCTTCGATATCAGACGTGGCATCTACTTGTTGAGGTTTCATAACTGTCTGGATACCCTGACTTAATTCATTTGTTACTGCAGCATGTGGTTGTTGAGTTAATTGCTGTATCCAGGGACGGTGCAAAGCATATGTTTGTAGGTGATTAACATTAGACATGGCTTGACTGTGATAACCCAAATTCTAATGATTTGAAGTAAGAAACTGTTTTTTGACGAAATTGAGGATACGTCAAAACCGGTTGTGAACCACTTAAATAAGAAGCACCACTCTGATCTGCATTATGTGCATTATTTTTATAAAACATCGTTGAATCGTTTCCATAGACCAGATTAAGAGCATTACCCACCATTTCAGATGTTACGGGCTGTCGAAGACCTAACATTTGTCGACAAAAATGTGAGGACACGCGTTAAAATACGTGCCTCTTAAAAAGTAGACGATAGAAAATATAAATTTACTATCTGTATACAGTATAGATGTATATATATATATACCTATAACAGTACGTCTTAACTGTACAGAGTTGACAAGGAGAAAGTTAGTTAGATACATACATAGACAGTCATATAGATAGTTAGTAAGATACATAGATCGATCACTGATGATGTGTGAGATAACCACATTGAATCGTCGACCATTAATGTACCATCACATTCAGTTAATGATTCCATAACAGAGAGAAACACGAAAGATATTCTCCAACTGCATCATCATCAGACACAAGAATCTTCATGCATTGACTAAAAGATAAACTCGGCACAACGGACTTTATTTTGCTGTGAAAATTGATATAATAGAGCCGCGTTGTCCGTCTCACTTTGCTCATGTGCAGTAGCTTCAATATTAAACATACCAACCACGAAACCGATCATGGCAGCTCTACTCACCTTCTTGTATGCACTGACAGTAACAGCCCCTACGAACAAATACAGACATGCTTTTTTCCATCCTCCTTTGAATCGATCACAGGAACGAGAAAAATAATCAAATAGAATAAAAAACGCAATGTTATCTTTCATTAACACCGTTATATCTTTATTAAAGAATATTGGAATAAATAATGCTAAAATAACTTCCTAATAGAATAACTTGTCTAATAGAATACATAGAGTAAAAACAACAATCTGAAGTATGCCGCGATGATCAATACAATACTTTATAGTGCGACAATGTCCTGTCTCAATCATTCCCAGTAACATAACATAATAAATAATGAGAATAGAGAATAGATGCAAATCTGATCTCATCTTTGTTAATATAACTTCAAGAGACAGTTGACAATTTGCATTCTTTGTCATCGTGGTGAATTTGTATAACCTATTACTGGTAAGCATTCTGTTTGAAACGTATTGGTAAAGCACACCACTGCTTTCTAAAATACTAAAATACTATCGGTTTAGCTAAGTTAGCTTAAAAAAACAATTAGTACAAACCCTTCACAAAACGGATGCTGTTAATTCAGAAAAACTTTACTGTTTAATATCGTAGAAAGCAAAGAATAGAAAAGAAAAATTGATTTCTAATCTACAAAAAACGCGAAAATTATTGTGAAAACATGAAAGGAAAAACATACCTTTAAATGTGTCTTAGTTACAATAACTGAAAGTTGACGTAAGCGTTACACAAAAACCTGAAAAGAATCAGTGTAATTTTTGCATGGATTCATTATTATTTTTTATGCGTCTGAGACGATTATTTCAAATTTAATCAGATATGAAAACTTTACCAACCGCACTTTGGAGATGAAAAACTTCTATTAGTTTTCATTCAAACATTTTATTAACTTCAGAATTTTGGAAAAAGTAGAAAGTCTTAGTTTTCTTGAATGTTTTGCCGAACCACGTCAGGGTGCGCCTCTTCGGGCTGCCACTGGCCCAAAGATTCTCGTTTTAATTTCGATCTACTTACCATGTTAAGGTTTTCTGACATGCTGTACGGTGTATGTTTTTGTTCCGAGTCGGTGAATAACTTTGAATGGTCCTTCATGTCTCAGATCGAATTTGTTGATCGAATGGTGTTGAGTGTCTTGACCAGGACAAGATAGGCGGGCTTCATCGGTTATTTGGGATAAACATTGAGTCAATTAGTTTAAATGTTGTGGATCTTGTTTGAGTGAGACAATAGACGATTGGTGATCAAATGGGAGTACCGACTGGCGTCCATAAATTAGCTCAAAACGCATTTTTCGTGTAGTAGGTCGGATAGTTGTATTGCAATTACTTGTAACGAAAAGTAGCATGTCATCGATTAACCGACGTTTGAGCGCCCGACATTTGAGCGCCTCGACACTTGAGCGACCGACATTTGAGTAATAACGACAGTTCAGCACCAAGTGCTCACCCTAACCCTACACAGCCTCACCCTCTACAGATCTCCAAATAATTCAGTTCATAATCGGACGACAAAAAAATTGTTCTGATCACCGTTATCGAAGTGAATAATCATTCGACTTTCCTGATCAGCAAAAAGTCATACCGAAAAGTGTCTAATGTCGGAGTCGCTCAAACGTCGGTCGCTTAAATGTCGGTCGCTCAAATGTCGAGCGCTCAAATGTCGGTCGCCCAAACGTCGGTTGACGATGTCATCCCAATTCGTTTTATGTTGATTTGATAAGGCAGCGATCTTTGCGTCCATGGTGCTATTGTATCGTTCGATTTCTCCGTTTGTTTGTGGCTGGTAAGTAGAAGAATAGAGATGAATAACGCCCATTTCCTAGAACAGTGTGTCCATCACTGAGGCGGTGAAATGAGAGCCAATATTCGTAGGTATGCATCAAGGTGTGCCGATTATTCCAAATTTAGTCAGATATGAAAACTTTACCAACCGCACTTTGGAGATGAAAAAATTCTATTAGTTTTCATTCAAACATTTTATTAACTTGAAAATTTTGGAAAAAGTAGAAAATCTTAGTTTTCTTGAATGTTTTGCCGAACCACGTCAGGGTGCGCCTCTTCGGGCTGCCACTGGCCCAAAGATTCTCGTTTTAATTTCGATCTACTTACCATGTTAAGGTTTGCTCGACTGTAATCAACATAATTCTTTTTTTATTTAAGCTTTTAATTGAAAAAGAAAAAAGAAGGATTGCGCAAGCGACTTTCGCCATATGTGCGCCTTAAAATGTATAAAAAAGAACGTATAATGAGCTTAAAAGGAGAAAGGAAGAAACACGGAAAGAAAAAGCTAGCGCAACAGATGGTCATTCGGGTTTTGGGATATTCACTACCACATAATTTATTTATTCTATTAATTAATTAAACTCCTCTTCTTCACCCGTGAGGTACAGATCGTAAAGATACGAACTTGCTAATTCTTCTCAATCTTCAGTTATTCACAAACAATCCTATGTCATTTTATTCCGAAATGGATAGCTGACTTGCAAATAAAACATTTGAACAAAGTTACTCTTCAAGTAGAAATTCAGATCAAGAGAAAGTTTTACGTTTTCTAAAGGTTAGAGTACTCTGTCGATAAACGGGTGATTGATATGCTGATAAAATACATGGAACATGAGCTGCGTCTTAGAGATCTCTGTAGAAATACAATGTAATTGAATACATTAGCGATATTACGTATAATCATGTATGTGATCGTACAATCAGTCGCTTCTACCGCATTACGTTTAGCAGAACAGCCGGTATTTATATTTTGAAACTCTTAACAACAAGAAAAAGTAGAAAAAGATCACGAGCTGTTTCTGTTCAAACACAATTCTCGCATCCTAAACGTCGTCGAGGAAGCTAGTGAACAAACTGGTATTTTACTCCCGTGTGTTTGAAGTGTGTGTGAAGACCTACATATCTACCAGACTTGAGCTCTAAGAACCTTAAAAATACATGGCACATAGCTTTAGGTCATATTCGGAATTAACATCGAAACTCAATTGACTGATGTGTGTTCCAGATGTGTTTCGAAAAACTATTTTTCGTTTACAGAGTTTTTCTTTTCAAAAAATGGACAAGTGTGTTAAGACAGCGCTGTTCGACTTTAAAAAGTGTTAAACTGTTAGTCGTGGAGGTCGCTACTAAAACTCGAAAACAAAAACATAAAAGGAAAATGCTCTGATGGCTTCAAAACCAGTTAAGTGGACCACAAATACGAGAAGTTTTAAAAGTGAAAAATCTACTTGTTGTACACAAGGGTCGGTGCTAGCTCACGTTCTTCTGCGCAAACTTTGTTTAGCACACTTCGTATTTTCTATTTTTCTGCTAAGCCATTGTCGTTTAAGGAGAAAAAATAAAGTGTAGCCAAATTTCAAATTGGCTAACTATAATCAGCCAAAATTCAAATGTTAAGTTTGGCTAGTCAAAATTCAAATCAGATCCTTGATTCTAATTTCGGCTTGGCGAATTTTATTTTTGCGTAGATAAACTGTAAATCTAAATTTTGGCTCAGGATTATTCAGCCAGATTACCAATTTGACTGACGATAGTCGCGTTAAGGTTAGAATCTTACTTTAACTTTAGTTTAGATGGCTAAAATTGATATTTGGTTGCATAATACGGAATTTTATAAAAATCTGTTAGAAAAAGAAGTATGCAGAGTTTAATAATAAAAAGTTAAAAGTCACTTTTTCAGGTTCTCAGCTGACTAAATTTCAAAATTAAACAAAAAACAGACTGGTTATAGCATAAAACAGAAGATTTTATATTTTCCTTATGTCATTACAGTCAAATTCTAGACATGTTTATGTGTTTTCATTATTAGAATCTTTGATTTTTAAAACAGTAAGCAAGAGCGATTAAAGATTTTTATTCATTTCGAAGGTAGAGTAAAGGTTGTAGTTTCAATAGAGGAAGAATTCTAAAATGTACAATACAAATTTGAAATTATATTTCTACGGATTTCCTCTTGTCACACAGTGGGCATTTTTTGCTAGAGCAGGCGGACTTTAGCTTTATGTGTGAACTAAGATTTCAGGAGCCATTTTTTTATAGGTTTTTCATGATCCTCTTTCTAATGGCTTGAGAGTTGGCTTTTGAAAAAGTTTTCTAAGGAGTTTTCCAGAGATCCGATCTTTCAAAAACCCTTCAGAAAACTTTCTCAATATTTAAAAACGATGCTACTGGAAAGAGCATTGTCGAAAACCTATAAGAAACATGTTTCGAGTCGTTCAGGTTACTTTATCTTGAAATTCAAATTTTCAGCA